ATGATTTCTTCCAGCAACCAGTTCACCAAACTGCTCAGAAAGTTAACAACCGGTTCTCTGCCCTAATGATTTCTTCCAGCAACCAGTTCACCAAACTGCTCAGAAAGTTAACAACCGGTTCTCCCGAAGTGGCTGAATTCCACCACTGACAAGGGAGGCCATTTTTGCCCTTCCCCAGGTTTCAGGAAAGCTTCCAGAGCCTGGAGAGAGGTCACACGCAAATGCACAGTTGGCAGGGGAGAATTGGTAGCATGTGCGCGGACAATTTTGGCATACCGTAAGAAAAAGATCCACCATCACTGTTCTAATCCCACCAATTTCAATTAATTTAGGTATGCTTAGCAGCACATGATCATGAATGAAGGCAAATATACATGTTCTAAGATAATGTTGCAAGATCCAATCTGAGTTGGCCCTAGTAACCGATTCAAATTAGATCTAGCACATGATCAAGCTAGTCTCAGGACAGGACAGACACATAAATGATGTTCATATAAATCAAATAATATATTGTATTGGCATACAATATAAATCAAACACACACTAGAAAAAGAATCTTGTACTGGAAGGATCAGTACAATTTAATATAGACTGGCTTTTTTGAATGTTTAGAAACTTTAGGCTCCAGTCATTTCCCAAGCCTGCAAGCTCTGTTCTTTATATATGCCAGTTCTATAATAGTATTATTCTATTAAACCTTCAGAAAACAGCTAGATTTCTAAGCTACTTCTTCCTGAAATAATGACTTCTCTTAAGTGCTGAAATTCCCTTTTCACTTTCAATATTTTTTAAAAAGATGGTAAAAATCTTATCTGAGCTATTCTTAAAATCATTTTTATTGCTGCATATTTCACAGTTGCTGAATTTTATGCTTCATATTAATTGAAGCTTTCACTCTTTAAATGTTTACAGGTAGACCTTGACTTACAATCCAAAAGTTCTGTTGCTAAGTGAGATAGCTTTTAAGTGAATTTGCCCCATTTTACAACGTTTCCTGCCACAGTTGTTAAGTGAATCACTGCAGTTGTTAAGTTAGCAACACAGTTGTTAAGTGAATCTGGTTTCCCCATTGACTTTGCTCATCAGAAAGTCACAAAGGTGATCACATAATCCTGAGACACTACAACTGTCAGAAATAGGAGTCAATTGTCAAGGGTCTGAATTTTGATCACATGACCACAGGGAAGCTGCAATGGTTGTGTGTAAAACGGTCATAAGTCGCTCTTTCCAGTGGGGTTGTAACTTTGAACAGTCACTAAATGAACTGTTGCAAGTCGAAAACTATTGATGTTTGTAACTAAATATTTATAATTCTTGGGAGAATAGGAGTATAAATATTTAAAAACAAGCAAAAAAATTAACAGAATTACTCACACGACCATACGGGAATGTCATCCACACTTTCAAAGATGGCTTCAATCCAATCACAAGAATCTGAAGTTAATAATAGCAGTAATAATAATGTAAAAATCATCCTTAACGTCTGCATTTTACAATCTTTTTCAAATATTAGTTTTTAAACGGGGTGTTTAGGGAAGGTAGGTTACCTTTGTTAAGGAAGCCATAGCTAGCAGAGAATATTGGGTGATAGGATGGTCTCTCAGCTCAGCCTTTGCATGTAAAGGCTCAATGCAGCAAACCTCTCCCTTCGAACCACTGAACAGACAGCGAGATTCACATGTTCTCACACCCATGACTCTCCTGAATCACAGAAAATGGGACAATTTAGGTACATGTCATATAGCAACTTATTTAAATGTAGCATTATTTTAAAAAATGTATAAGCCAAACTGTCAACTTATAGCAAAATTCCATGCAGAAAATCCAAGCAAGCCTGGGGGAGGGATACCTCCCTAAGTTATACACCTGTACTCAAATTGTTTTGTTTAACACAGGTTGTTTTCAGGAAGTGAGGGGAGCCGGATGTCAACTTGTAAAGCATTTCCAAGACTATTATCAAGTCGACATAGAAAAGGGAGTAGAATTCCATGCATACCTTTTGCCAGAGTCAGATCTCATATTCCTACAGCTGATGTGTGAAATGCGCATGTACGTAGCCTGGCGTAGCATCTTGTTGGTGAATGTGATTTATGATTCAGACAGAAGGGAGGGGATACAGGAGGTAAAGTTCAAGCGCAATTAAGCAGAAATCAGTTTCGGCTCTACAGAAGAACATGCCAAAATGTTGATCCTAATAAATGAATGGATTTCTTTTGAACTTTGTCTCGAGGCTCGTAAATTAATTAGGTCATCCTTTGGAAACTTCACACATACAATTTAAATAGGGTAGATATGATCCCAGGAGTGATAGAAATATTGTGTCTGAGTCCTGCAATTAATATGATAATTTTTCTGTCTGCAGTTATTTTTTATACAGTTCTGATAGCACTACATATAATCCTATGAACAGCGATACAGTAAATAATTATTGAGAAAAATAAAAGTAGCAAAGGAAGCATTATTTTGACAAATAATATACAAACTGCAATTAAAATTTAAATGTCTATGGAGATTCTCAGTCATCCAGGTCATGGTGTCCCAAAGGTGCTTTTTCAAAAGGCAACTGGACAGCCAGATGTGAGACCCAATGGCTAAAGTTGGGCTCTAGGAAGCAACTGGTTTTGTTGATGTTGTACCAGCCTTCCTTTTGCATCCTGACTTGCCTGCCTGAGATGCTTGCCTGTCACTGGGTTGGCAATCTGGAGATTTTAACTTGCCCTCATGTGACATACAAACTGGAGTGGCTCAGGAGTCCGTGGCTGCCATGGCAACCATGGATCTGAGCCAAGTCGTCAAGGGCCTGGCTCACAGAAGCAATCACAGATTAGATCTGGGGTTTTTCTCTCTCTCTCTCTTTTTTAATCTTAGAGCAATTGTGACACAATTTGAAGGTGAAGGTCATCCGTCTTTGGTCATGGTTATTCTCTGCTTTACTTTTCAGACTGTTTTCATACAAATGTACTGTTCCCCTTCAGAGATCTATTAGATCAGTCCATCCCAAGATCTGAAGATTTCAGAGGAAGTTTTGGGATTTTCCTGAGGGCTTGACAAGCAGACTGAGTGAGACTTTTAATTTCTGCTTAGAAAGGGTTTTTGCAAGTGCCTTGGATCAGATTGCCCCTGTGTAGCTTCTCCCTGTACATCAGTGTCAGGGGCACCAAGAAAATGCCATCCGATGGGACTCAAGAAGCATGCCTTCTCTCTAAGACAGTGTTTCTCAACCTTAGCAACTTGAAGATGTCCGGACTTCAACTCCCAGAATTCTGGGAGTTGAAGTCCAGACATCTTCAAGTTGCCAAGGTTGAGAAACACTGCTCTAAGAGCACCACTGGTGCAACCATCTCCAAAGAGATTTGAACTGTCTTGACCCTTCAGTGAACTTTAAAAATCTAGTTTCTTCCTCAATGTCTGAAATAGGTCAAGTTATCTCCACCCAGATTGTATTACGTAGTTTGCTATGGAATATATTTGTTCTCTTCCGTTCTGATCGTTTCCATTTTTGTTTCATTTTCAAGTACCATGGTTGTGTACATTGTCAATAGTCACTGTTGAGTGAGAGGGCTAAATCTAATAGATAACTAAATAATGTTATAATAAAATCAGTTATTCTTACTTGAATGACAGTTCAAATACAGAGCCACCACTGTCATTGCAGATTGCGAGAGTTGGATCATCTGTAAACTAAAGAAAATATTATTGTCCTCAATTCTTTATAAAGCTTACTTATTTTCCTTCCATTTCTCCCAATGTGACTTTTCCCTTATACTAAGCGTGTACCTGTGATGCCAAGTACAATGATAGAATTCATCCTCAAATTAGAACTAAATCAGCTCTTGTAACCGAACGCAACTTATTTCAGTCAAAATAGTCTAATCTCTGTAACCTTTTTAATGCTACATATATAGTTTACAAGACAGAACAATTACCTTAATGTGCAAAATTGCAGTTCCTGGAGGATGTGCATCTATTATTGATCGTAACAGTTTTCCACTGGCCAGATCCCACATTGTAATCTGTAAGCAAAATATTATTAACTTTCTGTAATATAACTAATTATTATTAAGATATGAAAACTATAAGACATCTTTCAAGCCATCTAGGGATGAAACTAATGAAACTAGGAATTACTGAATGAAATCATCTGTTTTATTTCTTTTCAGAGAATTCTATAATAAAGTATATGATAGATACAATAGAAAGAACAATACAATAGCAGAATTGAAAGGGACCTTGGAGATCTTCTTGTCCAACCCCCTGCCTAGGCAGGAAACCCTATACCATTTCAGACAGATGGCTATCCAACATCTTCTTAAAGACTTCCAGTGTTGGGACATTCACAACTTCTGGAGGCAAGCTGTTCTACTGATTAATTGTTCTAACTGTCAGGAAATTTATCCTCAGTTCTAAGTTGCTTCTCTCCTTGATTAGTTTCCAACCATTGCTTCTTGTTCTACACTCAGGTGCCTTGGAAAATAGTTTGATTCCCTCTTCTTTGTGGCAACCCCTGAGATATTGGAACACTGCTATCATGTTTCCCCTAGTCCTTCTTTCCATTAAACTAGACATACCCAGTTCCTACAATCGTTCTTCATGTGTTTTAGTCTCCAGTCCCCTAATCATCTTTGTTGCTCTTCTCTGCACTCTTTTTAGAGTCTCCACATTTTTCCTACATCGTGGCAACCAGAACTGAATGCAGTATTCCAAGTGTGGCCTTACCAAGGCATTATAGAGTGGTATTAACACTTCATGTGATCTTGATTCTATCCCTCTATTTATGCAGCCTAGAACTGTGTTGGCTTTTTTGGCAGCTGCTGCACACTGCTGGTTCATATTTAAATGGTTGTCCACTAGGACTCTAAGAACAGTGGGAAGCACTTTTCAAATGTTGGTGAATGACAAACTATGTATTGGAAATCATCCTTCTCTACAATCAAATTGACTCTGTAATCCTTTGCACATTTATCTGAGACTGTGTATCTGTTTAAGTGTATTGCATATAAATTATTACCTGTCCTTTTGCAAAGCCACACAGAAGTCTCGAACAGTCATTGTTGATGCTAAGAGCAGATATAGCCCCATACTGTGCACCAACAGCAGTATTGCCCAGGCAAAGTCGAAGAGCCTGGTTAGGGTCTAAACAGAACATAAAATTTATTTAACAAGAAGGAAAGAATCACAAGATATGTAATCAATTGACATTTCAAACTTAGAAAGGAGTAAATCCACATCAATTTAATTGGCTTAGTTTAAAGACATGCTCAATTATTCAAATCACACTTTGTTGTTGCAAATTTGAATTCACCAGGAATAACAAGAAGTGCTGTTAAACACAAGGAGGGTGCTGGAAGAATACTGAGAAACTGAATAGCAGAGAGTCCCACTGATAATAGGGCTAAGCTCAGATTCTCCATCCAAGGCAATTGTATTAAAAAATGCTCGTCACATAAATGTCTTGGTTGGTAGAGAGTATAAGAGTTCTGCTTCTGTCTAAACTGCATCTTGAAGAAAGGGAAGCAAGAGAGTCTGCCTTGTGAAAACAGAAGCTAATTTCATCAACAATAGGCCAGGTTAGAAACAGGCACACGAGCAGCATGTGAAGTCCTTCCTTCAATCTGTCTTTCACCCTTTGCTCTATTGGTCAAATAGGCTCCTAGGAGCAAAGTGATAAAGCAACCGTCAACATTTTGACCATACCCTATAAGCTTTCACAATTTCTCTTTACTTTTCTGGCTTGCATAATCATAGAATTGTGGCTTGCATAATCATAGAATTGTGAGCCGCCCTGAGTCCCCTCAGGGAAAAGGGCGGCATACAAATAAAGTAAAATCTAAATCTAAAATCTAGTTTCTAGAGATGTGTAAACTGGGCATGAACTTTAAGGTGAAAGAAGCTTTTGTGGAAGATAAAAAGTGAGAGCAAATATTGTACATGGTTTGTAATAGTGGCTCTATATGTGTAGCTCGGGCGTAGGATGAGGGTGAAGGTTGGTCCTCTGAGCTTACAAATGTTCTGTTACCAGGCTAGGTAAACAGAAGAACACTGATACTGACATCCCCTAAACTTCACTGAAGACGTTATCTAGCCTGGTAACGTTAGGAAACCAACCCCTAAGCCTTCCCTCCCACCCCCATTATACTCTGTAAAGATGAAAGCTATCCATAAAAAGCTGTAAAAAGAATATATAAATCAGTGAGAGAGAAAATAATCCTAGCCTTTTAATAGAGGCAGTAATTCAAACATTTTTGAAAAATCCATTAATCTCATCTTTTGATGCTTTGTCAGAAGCAAAACAGTAGATGATCAGCTCTAGACAGTTTTGCATGAAATTGTTTTTAAATACATTTCAATTGAGCTTCAAAAGTAATTTTGGGTGACAATTGCTCCAGTCATCCTGGGACCCACTCAGTAGGGAGACAGACGGGGAAGAAGGTGGAGAGTGACTTGTTTTTCCTGGATCTGCTGCATATTTTTTTAAAATCATCAATTATAGTGCCTATCAGATATATTGTTCTAATGTCTAATCTCTTTCAATCTTAAAGTTAAAGTATCTTTCTAAACTTGCCATCAACCTAGAAACCATGTTAGAGGTATCCAACTTTATCAATGAAATTGCATAAAAGATGAAGTATCATAAAAAGATTTACTAATGCATTATTTATGTGCAACACTATGGACTTTAAACTCAATAAAGATCAGGCATGCATATACAGGGCTTAATATTTAAATCTAAAATGACACCATCATCAGACAAAAATAAATCCACAGGAGAATACAAGCTGATTGAACAGGAGCACTGCAGGTGCGTTACCTTACAATCAGCTCCTGTAATTACTAACACCAAAATGTAATTAAAAGAATTGAGGGCAATTTATACTGTTAAAAGATAAAACACTTCAACCATCACAAATTAGATACACCACACACAAGTCTTACATGCTCACAATCATTACACAAGAGATACATTTTAGTCTCTACCTGCTTTATAAAGTATACATCAGAGCTTTTTTTAGGGTTATAAAGATATAAATTGCCAATATTGACATCTACATCATGGAAGATCTGTGGTAAGTTACAATTAAAAAGCTACAAATAACAAATTTATTTTTATTTATAATTCTAAATTCTCTACAAGAAGCTATTTCTTCAACTTTTGATTCCTTTTAATTTATCTCACTTTTCTTGGTTTAAATTATTGTTCTGTAGTGATAAATTACAGCTGCAAAGTTGAGAAGGCAGGCAAAATCAGGAATTCTTACTCCTTCCGTTATGTTAAAAGTTTCAAGTTTATTAGAATTTATATGCCGCTCACTCCCGTAGGGACTCTGTAATAGCTGCTCCTGAAGCCACAGAAGCTGCTATAGAAAAATCTAAATGCATTTCTGGTCTATAAGAGAGCCACTGGGAAAGAAAGAAAATTCTGTAGAATTGCTTCCTACTTTAAAAGACCCTGCTTTTCAGATTTTGCCTTTTAGAACTGAATCTCAGCTGATGAAGACTGCAGTAGATCAAGTGAAACAGAAAGAAGAAAATATTTGATTCTCTGACTCAGAAAATGTTAAATGTCTTAGACTTTAGTCATCTAGTCTTATGAAAAAAACAATTATCCAATTTGCAGATTCTGATCAAAAATGCACTGCGGGTATTGAAATAATATTGAAAGGAAGTACATTCAGGATGAAATGAGTACTGTGTGCATAAATAATGGGACTCATCTGACTGCAGTTAATTTTTATTTTCTTTTTTGAATAGTTTGTCCATGGATTCCAGGCGTGAAGAAAAGTTTTGATTCAGAGGCTAAAGAAACGTGGATTGGACAGGGACCGGGTTTTTTTCTTAAAGAGGATACTTTTCATATACGTGAGAGGGTGATTGGCCACTATGAGTTTTTGTAATATATCCCTTCCAGGATATTTGTGGAAGACACAACACTAAAAGGTTTTTTTTCCATTTATAGACTTTATATACTATGGCAGTGGTTCCCAAACTTGGCAACTTTAAGACTTGTGGACTTCAACTCCCAGCAGAGCTGGCTGGAGAATTCTAGGAGTTGAAGTCCACAAGTCTTAAAGTTGCCAAGTTTGGGAACCACTGTACTACGGCATGATATGTTTTTAAAATATATTGCTAAATATTTACTAGTGGCTTTGACAAAAACTTTAAATAATAATATTTTTGATTATTTTTTTCTATACTATCTGCTTTTATAAAAATGCAACTAACTTTGGGTATCAGATTACTTAGACAATAAGTTAAAATACAGTTTAAAAACTATTACGATTTCAAATTTGAAGGCTGAAAGATAAGGCTGAGAAAAAAGTATAGTTCGTTCCTTATTCTTATGAAAAAAATTACTCTCTGGATGGCTCAGATGGAAAAGTCTAAGTAAATCCTTTTTTTTTTTTAAAGTACACGGGCTATTAGAGGATGTAATATTTGAGATCATCTTATTGCCAATGAATGTTTTAAACCAGGTATTCCTAAAAGAAGTTGAAATGTTTAAAAATGCAGAATTCAGACAATGGTTAGAATAGCTTCACTACCAATTGCTGGAAGAAAAAAAATAGAAGTACACATACACTGTATCTATAACATCCCTTTATAGCCTGTTACAATATCCTTAATTTCAGAACATTACTGTATTGCTGCTTAACTAATGTAAGCCGTTCATGCAGATTACATGCAAAATGCATCATACTATACCTTTGCCTTCTCAGTCCATAAGGAAAAAGATTGAAAGAGAAATGCCAAAAATAATTATGGGGAAAAAATAGACAGTAACCATATCCTGTTATTTCCAGTAAAATATCTCTGGACACTAACAGATCTGTTGAAATCAGTTTCTCTGAGGCATGGAGACTTCAATGTATTTGTAGGATAATGAAAATAATGCACCCCAAACAAGACATCTTCAGAGTCACTAATGGAAGCAATGGCTCAAAACCACCTCTTATTTCAACATACACCTATTTTTAATCCTGGTTACCAAGAATTTTTTAATAAGATATTACTTACATGTAGCATTTTCTATTAAACTCAAGATCCAGATACTAATTTATGTGGCCCAGCAGAAGCCGTTGGAGCTGCCACCAGACTCTGACAGCGAGGGGCCCTATGAGTTGGCTCTGGAGGATGTGGAGGACCCTGGA